TTGTCGCCAGTGAAGTGTACCAGGCACTTTATCATGAATTTTGAACCACTTTGATGATGAGCTGACATATAGCTTACCAATAAGATGGAGCAACATGGCACACATCTCTAGTGAATAAGAACGCTGAAGAATCACTTTTCCAGACTTGATCTCGAGTTTTTTCTATGGGGGTCATCTTAAAAGTAATGCGTACAAGCACAAATCACGCACATAGACGATTTGCGTCAGAACATACGTCGTGAAATCCAAGAAGTGACGCCCAATACTCTGGCAACAACATACCCGAACATGCAGCGCCATGTTTAACTATATCTAGAGATATTAGAAGTTCACTTCCAGCACCTCTTCTAATGAACTTTCATTTCTCAAACATTGGTACGTCATGTAAAAATTTTGTTTTGTTTCCTTTTATTATAAGATTTTTATCAGACTTTTCCCGGTGCCTCTTTCGGCATTCATAAAGTCTTAAAATTCTTTCGTTTGTTTTTTTGTAGATGAAGCCAATTTCCATCCTTTTCTCGAAGACAAATTTCTACTCATGTTCCTCCGTTTTAAAAAGTACGACGTTCAGAAAGCTTTCGAAGTACTGCGGAACTTTTACCACTTTAAGGAGAAGTACTCTCGAATCATGAGCGACTTTCTGCCTTCTGAGCTTAAAACAATCATGGATATGTAGTGTTTTACGGTTTTGCTCTCCAGAGACCGCAACGGTAGTGCAGTGGCAATTGTACGACTAGGTAAGTTATTTTGTTTGGCCAAGTTTATTCTTGCAGCATTGAGTGAAATATTGCAGATTAAGCACTGTTCTTTGAATTTAGAAATGAAACTGTGTAATCGAGAGTATTAGTGTTTGGATTTAATATAAATAAATAAAGTAAAGAGTTAATCGAAAAAATTATAATACGTTATGTATAACACAGTGTAATGTAAAGATTCTTGATTTTGCATTTTTAAAATTAAAAAGTTAATTTCATATGAAAAAGAAATCTAACTGTTTACATATTCATCCGGTTCCTGTACTTATATAAAAATTCTGCCCTCCTTGTATAAAAAATCTGATGTGTACACCACATGACTTCCTTATACGGAATAATAAATTATACGCATTTTTTCTTGCATTTCCTTTAAACTTATTGGATTGAATTAAATCTACTTCGCCGACAGCGCATAATCCACATAGAATAAATGCATCTTTTAAAATTCCCTCTAGTATTTGTTTACCATAGCGACACTCTGGCGCTAGATTACTTACAGTATTATTTCGTTCCTATTATAACTATATGCACAAACTTTACATTCTGTAGCAATTTTGCTTTGAGCAAGAAGAAAGGAGGTGAGGACTTTGGCGAACGCCGTTTCCTCCAGTCCGTGAGGAAAATTTATATCATTAAAGAATAGAATTATCTAAATCGTTGCCACATGTTCGACATGTGATCGAAGACAGATTTTACTATTCAAATACTATAATAAAGCTAGAATGATGTATAAAAGAAATTAAGCAAACAAAACAAAAAAGAAACAGTTTTTCACAGACGATTGAGTATTTCTCATTCAATTAATTCAGTTCTCACTTCGCGAGAAGGCTAAAATACACAAAAACTCAAAATATCTATATTAAAAATTACGAAGTAAATCTTAAAAACTTATTTCCTGGAAAAAATTCCAGAAAGGATTAAACATGATTTAATTGGCAACAATAAATGAAGGCGTTATCTTTGTTGTTGCGAAGGTAAGTTTCTCTAGATTGGCAACAAATCTACTAGTCTGCTGTTTCAAATGTAAACAATCAATAGCCGCCCATATAAAAAAGGCTTAGCGGCACTTAGACAATTTTAAAATTGTTGATAATTCTAAAAATATTGCATACAGATTTACTAAAGGCATAAAACCTTAACCGGAGATAAAAACAACATAATTCAATCCTTTTTAAAGCAAAAAAATGTGTACAATTTTATACTAAACTGAGACCACTGAGCCGGGTAACAGAGTGTATATATAAAAAAATATCTTTTACGTTTTGGCGCGGCCGATGGCAACCAAAATACGAGGTGCCACATCTACATGTTATATACAAAGTCTTATATAGTCTTATATACAAATTTCAACGTTGTGAGGTTACTCGTTTTTGAGTTATGCGAGATACGTACGTAAGCACGTACGTACATACGTTCGTAAAGAAGCCACGAAAAATTCTCTTCAGAATTAATTTTAAAGCAGTTTTAGAATTTCTTTTTAGGAAATGAGTCTTTTATTCTGTCCTTACGTACAGATATCACGCAAAAAACATCGTTAAATTGCATTCGATAGCGGTCAAAACTGATATCTTCGTTGAAATATGCTGCCTGAAACTTTTCGCGATTATAATACTTCCTTTTTACTTCGTACAAGGAAGTAAAAATAAAACACAAAAGGTTTGATACCCGTCAGTTGCGATGATAAAGGCCAAATAAGGACTTTTGTAAACATCGTGTATTAACTGCACGTATAGGCGCTGGTTTTCCAGGAGTAAATCGTCATTCCCCATGCGGATTTCGCAGGGAATAATTTGCTATATGAACGCTTAGCTCGCCGACTTGCATTTTAACTGTGGATTGTGGAGAGAAACGGAGCAGTTATTTAATGTTAGCACAGAATTTCTGTCCGCAGCTTAATCCTCTCGCTGCGTATCCCGCTATTTCCACGGGCAACATAGAAGTAGCAAAATTGGCGCAACCCTCGATTTCCCCCGGGGAGGCATATTTTTCGTTTATTTAACTGTGAAACCCGCTCTTTTCCCGTTTATGCTTTCACATTTCGGCTTTTCTGTGATGTTTAATTATTTATTCAGATGTGGGTTAGCAGAAGGCATTAGTTGTCTATATTTTTGCGAAATATACAAACACATTTTGCACCATTTTCCGCGCTCGTTTCAAAGCTCAAAGATGTTTATAGTTCAACTCTCAATCACATGAGACTAACTGCTCGACATTTTGCTAGATATATATCCCCCAATTCAATCAAAAAAAAAAAAAAAAAAAAAAAAAAAACACTCGTAGACATTGTGCTGTTTGTTTATAAGAAAAACTGTGGCCAAAAAAATTCTAAAAGAAACGCGTATTTGGTGCAAAGATGGCGAGATAGAATGCCTCGAGCCTTGTTTTCGAAGTTTATTATATTACACTTTATTTCAAATAAATGTTTATAAATATTTTGCGTAATTTCATTTAGTATTTTACCATTATATTTTATAAAATAAATCATAATTTAACCAAGATTAATTTTCAAAAATTTCTTTATATGATTATTCTTCAGTTTAAACTTTCCGACAACCTTTCTTTATGAGCTAATTCTATACTGAAAAAAAATCGTTTAAAAACGTTTTTATGTATTTTAAATCTAAATTATATGTAAATTTGAAATATGTAATTAAAATTTTAAAATCTATTTTGATAAAAAAAATTTACGTGTGAAAGGGTTAATAAATAACATGCATATCGAGGAATTTTGCTTTCGTATAAACACATGTTTCGAACAGCATAGAGACAGAACCAACCAGAACAACCAGAACACCAGAACAGGAGCTCAGACCCAGGCTAAAGTTGCCCATATATGATTTAAATACTCCCACCAGAGGCCGTCCGTGGGGCCGCTAACCTACTGATTGAGCAGCCGAGCCGAAGAGATCCGAATTCACGGTGACCACACTAATTGGAGAAATACGAAGACACTGCCTTCAACGAGCTGCCAATCCCGGACAGCAATGCTTTAGAACAGGAGTCTCCTTTAACCTATGTTTTTGATGTTTCCCTCCCAAAAATAAAAAAAAAAAAAAAAAAAAAAAAAAAAAAAAAAAACTTCAGATGCTAATGTAAACGTACTCGAAGTGCTACGCTTGATGAACGATGCATGGGAAAACGTTACATGAACATGCATTACCAATTGCTTCCATACAGTTGGATTGGGCATTTCTCAAGAGGAGCAAATCACTGAGGATGAAGAAGAAGACGCCTTGAAAAATTTGGAGATGAGTCAAGAAGAATTTGAAAATTACGTATCTGTTGATGCCAGTGTTATCACTTCCCAGATACCCTGGGATATTGAAGCTGAACTTCAAGATGAAGCAGATGAAAAAGATAATGAAAGTGGTGATGATAACGACGAATGTGAAGAATTTCAAGCAGAAACCGTCCCTAACATACTCAACGGCTTCTAAATGCGCAGAAAAACCTCAAACATTTTTCGATGCGAGGGTTGCAAATGATGATGTTTTTCGGACCATGAGTCTTCTCCGAAGAACAATAACAAAATAAAGAGACAATAAGTCAGTTCAAAGCAAAGTAACCAAATCCATTTGTACTGTACAGAAATTAAAAAAAAAAGTATTTATAGTATAGTAAGTTTGTATAAATTTTTGTGAATTTTTTTACCAACCCGTTTTGTGCGAGCAGTCGGTTATAACGGGCAAACATCGCGGTCACTTTACATTCGTTATAAGCGAGTTCCACTTGATATAATAATTGTAATTTAGATTATAGGCCAGAGGATACCAAACTTCTGTATGCCTTGATAACATATATGAGGAAATTATTCCTACGCACCCACCTTGACGAATGGTTCTGGAACACTTTTTAATAAGCCAGGTTTTGTAAATGTGTGCACAACATCAAATTTGAACGTGTACATTTTTTACAATGCATCTGCATGCTGAGTATAACTACTGCTTTATAAATATTTTAGTCCATTCTTTTTATATCGCCTGCATATATTTAAATGCTAAAAAATTTTAAAACTGTTTGCAGAACACAGTTTAGAAGCCTCTGATTTAGGCTATTTACTCATGGATAGTTTTTTCATGGGCTGTTTTGTCATGGGCTATATTGTCGGGGTACAATCTGAGCGTTCTAATCTTGCTTACCACAGTATTTATTCTCGAACGAAAAACTGATAATTCACACTCGTGGAGTCGGAAATTAAGTGTTCCAGTGTCTAATTTATAAATATAAAGATATTTATCATTACAGGTAAGTTGAACTGGAAGGAAGCTACAATCGAAGATCTGATGGCAACCTCTCTCACAATCATATGCATTCTGTATCGACTGGAAGCATGTTCTGTGTGTGGCTGTGTCATTGTCATCGATCACACAGACGTTACCTTGCAAATATTATTTAAAAACATATCGCCCAAGTTCCTGATCTTCATCTTCAGTTGCTTACAAGTAAGTACAGAAGAATACTAAAAGTCAATTAAAGTCGAATGAAACCAAAGCAAGAGGAAAATATCGTCGTAGAAAACATTGCGGTAATAAAAATAGTAGGGGTGAAACACCCCAATTCCAGAACATCGTAGTAAAGCGCATTGTCGTAGAAAATAGAGCGATTTAAAAACTTCGCAGTTTTAAAACATCGAGGTAAAAAATAAAACAGTTATAAATCATGGCATGACGATAACATCGCAGACATGTATTTTCCCATTTAAAAGTTTTAAGCTCATGTTCACAGTATTAATCCCATTTTATAAAAGGGTTTACAACTACTCCAACTTCATAAAACAGATTAATTAAATAATGGCATTTAATTGTTAAGTACGTAAGCTTAGAATTATATTAAGTGCTATACGTAGAATTTTCTACTTATTTAAATGTTTTAAATGTAGAAATTTTCATCTTGCTTTTTAAGTAGAAATCAATTAGTAAATTCAAAAACATGAAATACTGAAATATAGAGGAAAATATATATAATTCTTTCTTGTGCTCCCAAGTAATCATGTAAATATGCATTTAAAACTTTTAAATTCTGAAACACACAAATGCGATGATTTACAGGTACTTTATTTTTCGCCACGATATTTTCTTCAATGTTTTAAGACTTTTACAATGATGCTTTAAAACCTTTGCAAAAATTTTATAATGATGTTTTAAAACTTTTTTTACTTTTTATGACGATGTTTGATAACACAATATTTCAGAACTGCGATGTTATAGTTTTGTTTTCTTTTGAGCCGGTTTATTTTCCGTGACGATATTTAATAATACGGTATTTTAGAACTGTGATGTTTTAGTTTTGCTTTCCTTTCACCCGCAATGTTTTCCCCTTACATTGTTTTCTCTGCCATGATTTCATCTAGGACATTTTCTTCTGTAACTACTGAAAACAGATACTGAGTATCTTCAGGATTTAAGTAGAATAATTAATAAAGGTATTGAGCGCAAAATTTGCGTTAACCATGTTCCCTTTATTACACAGTTAAAGGATTAAAACTATTTATTACACAATTAGATGACTATTACGTGAAAAATGTATAATATCTAATTAAAAAGGGACTGAATTTTTACTTAGAACTAATCTTTAAAGCGCATCTTTCAACTGCCATTTACTTCGGATTCTAGGACTCCATCGGTGTTCGGTTAACCATGTGTTCAATGTAGGTACATTATTTATCTTTCAAACCATTTCATTTCAAATGAAATGGTTTGAAAGATAAATATCGATTCATTGACAAATGGCGAATTTTTCTTATTTTCCGCACTCGAATGCATTTCGTTATCTCACATATACTAATTACAATGAAAAAAATTACAAACAAGTTATAAAGTATGTGAATATTTCCTGAAATTATAGTACATTTCCCTTCGGAATGTTTACATGAGCATCCATGCTTTTAATCCTTTAACACTTCTTTTACTAGATCTCAAGTAAAGTTTCAAACATAAAATTTTCGGTTTTGACTGAAGTTATTTGCAGTTAACTCTGATATTATCGTGTTTTCATTAACCGTTTTGGGGAGCTCCTTATCGATAACCCTTTAAACAAATGCATATATTACCTCTTTTTACATGCTGCCACTGCAAATCTCGGAATTTTCAAATATTTTGATATTTCTCTTTTACAGTGTATTCCAAGAACATTTGAACACATTTTACTAAATAGTTATATTAGTTGATTTAATAATTTTACCACACGTTTGGAGGATTCAACACTACCACTTTGAACAAGGAAAGTCAGAAAAAAATGCAATTTTATCTTAGTATACTACATTGATAGATTAATTTTCTGTGACACTGATATTTCATGAAGATAACGGACATTTTTACCCTGTTCATATGGACTTCGAATATTTTCTCTAAGTCATCACGATTGCTGACTTGCTTAACTTTAGACTTTAAAAAAGATTTTATACTAGTTTTATAAGAAATATGTCTAAGAAAATTTCAATATTTCATCTTCATAAGAAACATCAACTTTTAGAATGTTTCGATTTAAATTACTAGAAGAATAAGAATCATTGTTTTGTAAAACTGTTTCTCTTTAATTCGAAATTACTTCTGTTTAACATTCGAAAGGAACGAACATTCGTATATTACATATAACTATTGTATATTAGTGAATTACGAATGCAAATTAGTGAAGGGAATGAATGAATAAAACTTTGAATAAAATGATGCATTGGCTATTATTGCAGAACATCTTTTTCATATAGACTGCAACAGAAAGTGCAGACTTCTATTTACATATATAACTGGTGTAAATATTTTTCTCATATGCATATTTTTATGTAAAGATAGCATTTGGGCTCAGATGTTTATCACATATTTCTTTCGTCTTATTTATCACTTATTAAGTAATATTTCGCATGAATATTTTTTAGGAGTATCCAGCATGTGTTTGTATTTATTTCAAATTCTTTCAACCAGGTAGTGAAATCTTCCCAATTGCTTATATTTGATATAACTTCGCAATGAAAATTTTCAGAAGAAATAGAAGATGTACAGAAATTTATACAGAAAATTGCGTGGCAAAATATTTTCAAACATCTTGCTTAAATCTTAAAGCGTGCGAAAGGTCATGTGACATGACAGAAACACTACTGGATGCTCATTGGTCCATCCTAGAAGCCACTCCCTCGGTGGCTACACAGATGTGCACTTGTGAAATATGCATATCGTAATTAGATTTCTACATGTACCTAAAGGCTGTTATTTAAAAGAAATTAACCTTATGAACTTAAAAATTTTCATTATTGAATAACAAGAAAAATTGGTATGTTCGTCTTCCGTTATATCTTCAAGCACATCATCGAATTTTGTTTCATTTTTACCATCATTGTAACTTAGATCAATAAAAAAATAAACATCACCCCTTTCCATTTTTCACCATTACCAAACATCCTCCCTGCTGCATGATTTCTATTTTCTTCCGGAAACTGAAGGACTTTGCATTTGAAACCAGCCATATGTTGTTTCGTTTGGCAGGAGCCATATTAACTACTAAAAGGAACACTAGATCAACTGTATTTTAACTGTAACCTTCGATGTTCATTTCAAAATTAGTTTCAAATGACTACAGAAACACAAAACATCTGACTCCTAATTCCGCAAACTCATTCGGATCGACATTCTTACCCCAAATTATCTCCTCCTTTCCTCAAAACCCTAGAATAATATTCTTGTGCACACCTGCATTAAAAACAACCCACCCTCTTTGCAGAATTATTTACTGCACCAAGCAATTCCTTTTTGTCCCCTTGTCGCTTGTCAATTCAATATAACAGTGTTCGAACGGGTGAGGAAAATCTTCGAATGAATGACTTCAAAAGATAAAGCATCGCACATGTATCTTTCAGGTTTCTTCGTAAAGAAAAGGGTGCGCGTTATATGGCGAATACCTAAAATTTAATTAATGTTGTTTAAAGTTATAGGTACACGTTATACACCGGAATATATGGTATTTATTTCATTCACGAGAATGAAACGATGTTTTCTTAAAATTTTATAATTTTGACAATTTTTTAAGGACGGCAAAATACCAGATTTGGTCCAGTTTTTTTAACGCACATATGAACTTCGATATTCCAAATCCTATCCGTACATGTAGTGTTTCCTATCAGTAATTAGAAGACAAATGGAATAATGGCTGGATATGCAAACATGAAGTAAAATTTTTTTTAATAAAAAAAATTCTTCAGATCTAGGGAAGTAAATTTATTCAGCAAGATGTCTAAATTTTCTTAAATTCGAAGCTTATTTTGGAATTACGTAGCAGAGAGATAAATTTACAGGGAGAGAAATAGTAAAGAATAACTATTCTGCAAAATCTGGAAGGCAATTCTAAAAGATCTGATGTGTATACCACATGACTTCCTTGTATTGGAATATTAAATTGTAAGCCATTTTTTCTTGCATTTCATTTAAACTTATTGGATTGAATTAAATCTACTTCGCCGACAGCGCATAAACCACAATAGAATAAATGCATTCTTTAAAATTCACTCTAGTAATTGTTTACCATAGCGACACTCTGGTGCTAGATTCACTTAAGAGTATTAATAATTATATAAAATTAACTTAATAATATTATATAACGGAAACTAAGTTAACTGTTATATAATCCAATAATTATATAACAGTTAACTTATATATTTCGTTCATATTATAACTCAGAATGCACAAAATTTATATCATTTAAAGAATAGAATTTTCTAATCGTTGCAAACATGTTCTATTCAAATACTATAATAAAGCTAGAATGATGTATAAAAGAAATTAAGCAAACCAAACAAAAAAAACAGTTTTTCGCAGACGATTGAGTATTTCTCATTGAATTAATTCTGTTCTCACTTCGCGAGAAGGCAAAAATACATAAAACCTCATATCTATATTAAAAATTACGAAGTAAATCTCAAACACTTATTTCCTCGAAAAATTCCAGAAAAAATTAAGCATGATTTAATTGGCAATAATAAATGAATGCGTTATCTTTGTTGTTGCGAAGCTAAGTTTCTCTAGATTGGCAACAAATCCACTAGTCTCCTGTTTCAAATGGAAATATCAATGGCCGCCATTAAAAACAGGTTTAGCGGCAATTAAACAACTTTAAAATTGCGTGCTACCGTTACACCACGAAAGCACACTACGGAAGTGGGAGGAATACCTTATATACTCCCCTTTTCAAAGGGCGACTAGGGTTTTAGGGGACCTAGTCGCCAAATCTTGAGTGCGGAGAATCATCATCCACAACCCTTTTATTTCGGGCGCCACTTGTAGAGTCATTAGGATTTTTTTAGAGACAGAAAAGATGAAAAATAGCAAACGCCTTCGTCTGGAATCGAACCACGGACCTCTGGAATACCCAGCGTGCTACCGTTACACCACGAAGGCACGCTAGGGAAGTGGGAGAAATACCTTATAAACTTTGTACGAAGTCAGAACTGGATTTAGAC